GACTGGCAGAGGACTGGCAGAGGACTGGCAGAGGACTGGCAGAGGACTGGCAGAGGACTGGCAGAGGAGGGTCCGGCTGGCCACCCGTCCGGTCTTTTCTGGTCAAAGCTAGCGCCTAAACCGTTCAGCCGAATTTCTACAAAACTGATATTCTCTATTAGATCTGAACGAACTCTTTTTTTGCAATTGTCATCGATTTCGACTGTAATTTTTGTATCATTTCCCCACTTTTTTAATTCATGTGTCGCCAATTTCATGGATTTTAATATCAGTTTATGGTATTTGCTTCAAATAATATTTACGAGATGTAGCAATTGTTCTCCCCATAATTCCTGTCATGTGAGCCGTAGTATGAGATCTGAGGTTCCTATGACACCTATCAGCGCCATTGTCAGCCGATTGCAGCATAACTAAAGTCAGAGATTTCCTCGTAAAGAACAGTCCAAACCAAACTTTGCAAGCTGGAGTCACTTAAACAGAAGGAAGAAGCATCGATTACATCAGTAACATATCCAACAGTTTGAATTGCTCATCTGAACTGGTTATGATCAAAATTGTTAAGATATTTTACTTTCCCGTATGCATACGTATATACGGAGTAGTATACGTAGTATAGGAAACGTTATAAAATGCTGCGGAAAATCTATTTTGAGATTTTGACGAAAATACACGTTTTGGGGACCTCCGATACCAAAAAAGTGCTTTATTCAAAACCTCCGTCCGTCCGGTGTCTGAACACTGTTAGCACCTAAATCATGCGTAGAATTTTTTCCAAATTGACGAAACCCATGTCCATTTGGCTCGAGACGAAACTTTGAGATTAAAAAAAATCCTTCAAAATTTGGGGGTACTTTACAAGAAGCCCCCAGGATATATTCAAAATTTTCACAAAAACTTTCAAAATTTTCCGGGCGTCTTCCTACAACTACAAAACTGAAGATAGAGATTTTTCTTTCAAATGAAATTTGTTCTCCAATGGGAGTTCTTTCATTAAGGTTATGTACCTTTTTTCGAACGTTTTAGTAGTGTTCGCGCTATATTGCGTGCAATATGTGCAATTTTTAAAGAAATAAAAACGTTTCTCAAAAACTGCTCCAAAGTTTCTTCTTTAAACTCTTGGTAGGGATGGTGCTAAATGCACTCTATATGATGACATAAACGCCATATTGCACTATTTTTCTGTTAATATTTATATTAGCAGCATATTTGTTCACATTATTGTATTTAAGACATGTGCTTTAAATAATGTAATATAGTTTCTCGAAAAAATCTACAGTTTTCTGTGAAAACTAGCTCAAATTCCGCATTTTCAGAAACGCACAAACATTTTTTTGGAAAAGGCTCCAAATTTTTTCTCCAAACATTTCGAACGGATAGTGGTAACTGGACCTCTTAATATGATGAAAAGTTCATTTCAGTGCATTTTTTGTTTCTTCAAAAATTACACAAATGTAGTTTCTTTAAAAGATCTCTCATGCCGTTGATATGCACATTTCCAGCAATTTGTAAACACTATTGTATTTGTAAGTTAAAGTACTCAAAATGACTTTAAGTGAAGGTTTTCGAAAACTCAACACATTTCTGTGAAAAAGAGCTTCAAATTACGAATTTACAGCAAGACGTAAACTCTAGTTTTTTATAAACGACTCAACATTTTTCGAAGAATATTGTCATTGAGGAGAAGGTTTTATTGATTTTTAATAATCTTAAAATAATATTTCCACTCTACAACTAAGAAACCAAAAAAATAAGAAAATGTCAAAAAATGTAATTTAAGCGGCGATAGATGGCAGCTGGCAAAATTATGTGGCAAGTTCGAATAGCTAACCTAGACCAAAGAAAATAGAAAACTAATACGGGAAAGTTTGTGCGATTCTGTAGCACCACTAGTTGCTTTGCTTCTGGGGCATTTAAAAAATGTAAGAGCATTTTATTAATTAATGGCGATGCTTTAGGTCATCAAAATCCGCCCTCTAGTTATTATTTACGATTTGTATCATATTGCCCATCTTGATGGTTTTGCCTGCTGAAACGTAACTACGTAACTAAATACGTAAATACTTTTATTACATTGCCCATCTCAAAGACTTTGCCTGCTGAAACCCAGTGCGTGACTACTTTTATTATATTGCCCATCTCCATGGCTTTGCCTGCTGAAAGCCAGTGCAAAACTACTTTTATTACATTGCCCATCTCCATGGCTTTCCCTGCTGAAACGCAAAGCGTAACTACATTTTTTTTACATTACCCATCTCAATGGCTTTGGCTGCGGAAAGCCAGTGCATAACTACTTTTATTATATTGCCCATCTCCATGGCCCCCCTGACGTCCAATGTGCGTGTTGGCAGGGCCGATCGCGCGGCCGGTGGGGCGCGCGGGGGCGGCGGCCGGCGTGGCGGTGGCGGCGGTGGCGCTCAACACCGTGGGCGACATCCGGGGCCGCTCGGGGCCCTTCGAGGCGGCGCTCAACCTCGGGGACGCGGCCGCCAACGCCACGCGCGACGACTGCGTGTGGCGCCGCGGCATGGACCGCGACCGCTGCCCCGACCCGCTGGTGCACTACACTCTGCACACCGGGTGAGTGCCTACGATGACTACGCTCGACTGGAACTGGTCCTCACGGACGATGTGCTGTAGGTCGGGTGAGTGCCGCCTTGTTTCCTATTTCTCTCGATTAATGAGCTACTCAGCACTACTGTTGCCTGGACTCGCAGACGACGTCGGGTAAGTGCTTTCTCCTCCCTCGAACACTGATGTCTCGAGATACAGATGGCAAATGAGTGCCTAAGTTCTCTCCTCTCCCCTTCACCTATCTTCTCCTCTCCCCTTCACCTATCTTCTCCTCTCCCCTTCACCTATCTTCTCCTCTCGTCTCGTCACTCCTCACTTCTTTCTTCCTCTCTCTTCTCTCGACTTCTGAACTGCTTTCCTCAACAAGTGACTGCAGCCTGAACGCACATAATTCTCTCTTCTACTAAGCAATTCTATCCTGGGCAATCGATGCCTGGTCACACAGTTGATGGCGGTGAGTTTATTCTGCCCTGTTCATTCCATTTTATATAGTTTATATTTTATTAAAAAAATAAGCAGTACATGCCGTCGTTTTTTAACACTCAGTAATATTTCTCACCGATAAAAAAAAATCATTAGACGTCCTAAATACACTGGGTACGTGATGCATCTGGGTTCTATCAAGTATAACACTCATTAGAACTTAAAAGACATCTGATAACAGAGGCGGGAGAGAGCTTAGATCCTAAGATCTCTGACATCTACAACTGCCGTAACGTGCGGAGAAACCGCAGATGAACGCGTGTGTACACGTGCGAAGGTGCGAACCCCGGTCTTCGGTATTCGTCGCGCGCCCGGCTACAGGTCCTACAAGGCGTTCGCACGGAAAAAGCGACTCCTCACACGCTCAGTGATACTTCAGTGAGCGGGTACCTGATTACTATTATCTTATTAGAAAACTTGATTACATATAACTGAATGGAAACTAATTAATAGCCAGTACAATTTTGCGTAACATTAACGACAAATAATATTAATTACATGTTTAAATAGTGGCAACATTACCGTGATACAGCAATTATTTCTTTTAGTTCTTAATAACATGCTCTGTTCGGTACAGGAAAAACCCAACTACTGACATCCGCATGAACTTACCAGCCAAACATGCTTTCGAACATTTAATGGCTGCAAGCAGTCCAAGAGGCACTCGACAAGCAGATTTTTCAAGATCGCTTTATTTACAGATTTCACAAGCTCGAAAACTCGTTTGTTTTGTTTCCGATTACAATTATTGCAAAGAGAAATCTTTGGAGGCACAGAATAACCAATTACGAATACACAGTTCCATAAACTTAAAAAATTATCTTGCCTTTTAAAATAATTAGTAAACATCGAATTCAACAATGGCACAATCCAATAGGTAAGATAGGATAATAATAAAATAGGATAAGAAAGGTACGTACACATTTTAGTCAATACCTGGGACGAGATTGTTTCTAAGCTACAATCTTAACAATTGCATTTTTACATTTTTGGTATATTTTGTGTGTGCGTGAAAGACGAATGAGACAAGCGGAGGTGTAGAAGAAGAAAATGGAGAAAGACGGGAAGGGGGTATATACAGAACACAGAGTTCTGGTTCATAACTATCGTCTCTGAAGTACTTGCTCCACGTGCAACCCGACTGATAATTTACAAATTTTCTGCATTTTGGATGTATTGTAATAGAGTCGAACATTTCTTTATCTTGTGAAATAGTTATGTATCAAGGATAAAAATTAATGGTTTTCAGGAGTCGTCTATGGTAGACAAGCGAGTCAAAAAACTATTACTTTTCAGCACTTTTACATTCACCTTTATTGTACCCTCCACACCTAATTACTGATTTAGTTTAGGGAAAATAAAGTTAACTTCCTTCTAATAATTTAATTTTCTATTCCACTTTGAATAACTAAATGAATTTAAAGAAAATAATTGGGTTTTCCTTTTTATGATGTTGGTTTTGTTATGGTTGGTGCTTGCGACTTCCCAGTCCTAAACCGACACATTACATTGTCCTAGGCCGAAAATATTCAATTTTACCGACAATAAAGAATCCGCAAAATGCAACTTCATACGTCAGTGTACAATATAGCGGCTTGAAGGGATACATTTTTTCCTGTAAGATACGTAATAACATTAAGCTGGAAAAAGTTACATTACGGCCAAAGAACATAAAATATTTAATAAACTAAGTTTTAAATTGGTTGTCGCATATAATTATATTTAAACGCTGCTCAACCCTGTTTTTATTTAGGATAACCATAATAATTCTTTCCAAACGTTCTTTACATCATAATTCTCTTGCATGAACTAAAATAAAATTAAGTATGATATTTCATACGTTGCTTATATTGTACTAGTTTGGTGTAGTAGTTAATATCACATTAAGCTGTAGAACAAGATATGATCATGAACTGGAAAAAGACTGAGCATTATTGTGGTGTGGTTTGAGGCCTAACCGCGCCTGGTGTTGCATCTTTTTGCTTACTTACTTTTCCCCCGTATGTCTCTGTTTCATTTGACTAACCCTCGTACAATAGATTCCGTTCCCTAGCAAATGCACGCAGATCCTAACCTCGCTAAGCCGGAATGGCGTTGCAGGGATCCGGACGCGCCGCGGGTGGAGGTGGTGGACATGACGCAGCGCGACTGGCTGCGGCGCAGCAGCTGGGAGCCCTCCTTCGACAACGTGCTCTTCATCCACGGCTACGGCGGCGGCGAGGACGACATCACCGGATCCGTCCTCAGGGGAGGTGAGAGGAATGGGCCAGTTTCATATTGAATTCTATTATTAAGCCTTCACTGACATGTCTGGCCGGTCTGGAATAACACCGCCGAAACCAACATTGAAAATTTCAGATAACATAAAACAATTTTTTAAGAAAATGTGCAAAGTCTCTCTTGTTTATTTCTAATACACATATTCAGAGAGATCGTCAAATATAGCCCCTAATAGAAATAACTGTGACAAATGTTTGCCACTTCTTCCATCCTCTCCTTGCAGTATAAAATTTACAATGGGGCAAACATTAAACAATCCCAAGAGAATACGCTCACGATATCAGAAAGATATGTTAAAAACCCCTGAATGAATGTATGATAAAAAATGTGTAAATGTTCACTTCAGTATTAAGATAATTTTTCAATGTAAGTATAGAGAGTATCTAGATTTAAGAATGAATATTTTATAGTAAAATTTAAGTATTGTGTGTAAATTGTTTAGATATTATAAATATAAGTATGAAATTCTGTAAATTAGCTAGTAGTAAGACGCAAGAGTGAGGTTGTATGCTCAAATGCTATGTATTAAAAATAAAAATTCCTTGAAATGCAAAACTGCCGAACAGAAAGAATATTTTTTATGGGGAGGTGATCGGCGCACACCCGCGCTTCCAGGGGGCCAGGGACTTTCGGGCTAATAAGTTGCGGCAAATGTTTCCAAATTCAAATAATATTTCATTTTTGTACTAACACGTTATTGCTTATTATTGCCTTCGATACAGAGCTCCATAATCACTGCATCGAGATGATCGAGAAGATCCTGGAGACTAGGGAAATTTGAAAGCAGTTGAATGTTACTACATGTTGAATTCTCGGCTGTCCGGGAGACGCCGCGTCGTTGGCTGGGGTGCCGACGTTTCGCCTGACATGTCGCAGGCTTCCTCAGGGCAGTGACAATACCTGTCACTGCCCTGAGGAAGCCTGCGACATGTCAGGCAAAACGTCGGCACCCCAGCCAACGACGCGGCGTCTCCCGGATAGCCGAGAATTCATGGATTCGAGCCACGGAAGCTTACGTATACGTTACTACATGTTCTCTAATGGAGGAAATTATGAGAGGGAATTGTGGGAGGGAAATATAAAATGACAATCCCAGTCAAGTTAAAAAACTAATTAATTAGTAAATAAGTAAATCTGAATAATTAAAATTAAGTAAAAAAATAAAATCATGTACCACCGGCTTTAATTATTTCTGATCTATGGCGGCCAAAGGCCCTCAGGCGTTTTTTCGCCGCTCGATCATTAGAATCCTTATAACGCGTTTGGCGTATAAATAACTCTTATTTACAACTTAAAATTGAATGAGATATTTTAGCACTTCTTTGAGTTAACGCATATTATTTGGCTAGTTGGTTGCGTTTTGCGTTGAGGAGAGGGCATCCCCCCCCCCCAAGAGTCTTTGGTATGCACGGTAATTTTTAATTAATTACATTTTGATTTCTAATTTTTATTTTATATTTGTAAAGTGTGTGGTTGATGATGACTATTTATATTATTTACATACAGTTTGTCATGTTTACCTCCCAATTTCGTTAAAAAATGTGCCTATGTTCTGAAGAACGCTTCACACCGTACATTTTTCATATGCCCAGGAAGGCTCTGATTCAGGGAGCTGGGCGCTTTGAGCCCAGTGAACGATGCGCTGTGTTCTATTGCAATTCCAATTGTAAAAAGGCCCGGTTTCAGATTGCCCCGGCAGAAGGCATGCTGAATCATTCTCAAAATGTCACGTATGTGAATTCACCATATTCGAGGTATTACTTCTTGATTGTGCAGAGCTGTGTTGTAAAAATACTCTTTTTCTGAAATTTTGATTTTTCGCCAATTAATGTTTCTTCTTTCAAAACACGACTTCAGAAAACTGAATTGTGTGAAGTGTTTTAATGCGCCATCTTTTATGCGCTTGCTGTGAAACGTTAAAGCAATTTGGAAAGCTCTTGCCATTTTAAAATCAGTCGTATGTCTTTGAGTAACGAATTTGTGCAGATGCAACATTCGCAGAATGCAAGGCGAAAGCATTTTGACCGCTGTATGGTATTACATCCAGATTTTGCTCTGAACCTGGTCGGCCCTTACATCTTATTGACATTTTATACAAATTAATTAAATACAATGATAAATTCATTGACAATTTCTTCACAATATTCACAGTGACTAGATCAGGGAACCAGCCGAACAACGGATAACAATGACCAAGACCGTAGTTTTGGCGATCCCTGGAGGCGAAGTAAGAATATATCAATCATAAATATCAAAATCACAAACGCTGGAGCTCATAAAATATATTTAAAATCCCACACTGCAAAACTTTGCGCAGGGTAGAGTAAAACTCCAAATTTCTCGCAAACGTCTGTATTTTTTTAGTGTTTTTCAATCTAAAAATTTGAACAATACAATCCTAAAACTTACTTCAAAGAGACATAAGAGATTTATATCAACACAATGGCATTAACTATGTCACATTATATTCGCGTCTTTAATTACAAAATTATTTCTAAGACTTGCCCACAGAGCTCTATAGCAGCATGATCACTTCAACTAAGAACATTTTTAAGCAAATATTATTTCGTGCCACTATCTGTTTATAATGTAAGTTTTGTTACTAAAATACAAATTATATATTTATTACTTTGGAAGACATGTTTGTTTAAACGGCCACGTTTTATAATATTCCAAATATTAATTATGTTGCAAAGAGCCGATACAAATCCAAAGGCTACGAAACAGTCTCTGGAGCGACAGGTTGTTTTTAATTTATCTTTATTATTACATATATCAGTAAAAAGCTATAAATCTATATTTTTGTTGCTTAATACTAGCATAATATGCTAATATGGTTAAATCGTTAAATCTGATGCATTGAGGTAACCAAATAAGCACCTGTGATATGTGCCAATTTCTGGGAATTTTCCACGACATGAGAATGGGAAATTTGCTTTTAATTTGGGTTTGCGTCAATTGCATTTTGGACAAGACAGTACGTTTAATGTGGGTATTTGTGGTATGAAGAAATAGACCTTTGAAACCAGATAGTTGATTGTTTAATTTTTTGTGGAGTTGGTCTTTCGTTAAGAATCATGGAGTATGGATGATTATTCTTAAGCTCTGCTTTTGACTTTTTTTGAGGTTAGTTTTAGCTGCATTAATTCAGGTGGGACTGGCGTATAAAAGAATATGCCTTAAGATTTGTCGGTATATTATTGCTGTTATGTTGCAGAATGGAAGTATTATTCCTCACTCCCCCGTTCTTAAATGTTATGACTATGTATTCATGTATATTCAAGTGGTTAAGCGAAAGAGCAAATCTGAAGATAATTTCACTAATAACAACTATTTTTTTTGTTTTCCTCTACTTCTATAATAATTATTATATATTATATATATTATATATATTATATATATTATATATATTATATATATTATATATATTATATATAATATATATATTATATATATAATATATATATATTATATATATTATATATTGTATATTATATATTATATTATTACATTATTATTGTCATCATTTCTGTGATTGTTATTAATATTATGATTAGCACTGATATCTCCCACGTGTTTTTGCTTGTGCCCAGCCTACCTGCGCAACGGCCGGTACAACGTGTTCATGGTGAACTGGGGCGCGCTGGCGCGGCTGCCCTGCTACCCGGCGGCGGTGCACAACATGCGCACTGTGGCGCGCTGCACGGGCCGCATGCTGAGCTTCCTGCGCGACTCGGGCCTGCCCGTGGAGCGCACCACGTGCGTGGGCCACAGCCTGGGCGCGCACGTGTGCGGCCTCATCGCGCACTACCTCACCTTCCGCATGCAGCGCATCGTCGGTAGGTCGGAAGGAACACGCTCGCGCGATATCCCGTTCAGCCGGTTCATCCTGTTTTCAATGGACTTAGCGGGTGGCAGGAAGTGTTATGATGCATATTAGTGGATGGCAATGTATACAGGTTTCTGGTCTGAATCATTCATTCGTGACTCTACAATCTCACATCCGGCACGCAGCACATTGTTGGTAGGTCGGAAGGAACATGATCGCGTGATATTCCGTTCATCCAATTTCCAGTGCTCTTGACGGCTGTTAGGAAGAGTAAAGGTGCACACCAGCAGGTGGCAATGTAGATAAGTAGTCTGCATCATCATTTTATGTCGCTACTAAGTCACCTTTCGCATGCAGTGCCTTGTCAATAGATCACGCCGTCCATGGTCCTCATGCAGCGCATCGTCGGTAGGTCTGAACATGCGCGCCCGATGCTTCCAATGCGCTTGAGGACCGATAGGAAGTGTTAAGATACACATACGCGGGAGTCCATGTACACGTATTTCTAGACTGTATCATCCCTTTTTTGTGTCCCAACTACCTCACCTTTTGCACGCAGCAAAACGTCGGTAGGTCTGAAAATGGGCGCTCGATGTCCCGTTCACCCCGGTTTCAAAGCATATAACGAAAGCCAGGAAGAGTTTAGGTGTACATTAGAAGGCGTTAATGGACACAGATTGTTCGAGTGTTATCACAATTTCATGCTGCTACTACTACCTCACATTCCGCATGCGGTGTATGGTAGGCAGGTCACACTGTTGCCAGGTTCTGAGTAAGACCGCTTCATCATCGTTCATTCCTTTTCAAATGTACTTAGTGAACACAGAGTGTTGTGGGGCACATCAGCAGGAAACAATACACACATTTTCAATCTAGCATAATTTCTTTCCTCTACATCTGTTGCATGCAGTATCGTCGGTAGTGTACATGCCCACTCAATCTCCCATTCATCTCGATTTCAGTGCATTTAAGGTCGCATGTACTGGATGCAATGGAAATCGTAGACAAATTAAGCTTCGTTATACCATTATATCTAAAATACTGATTCCGACGTAAATGAAAATTAAATAAAAGTATAAATGAATTCTGAATATTTTAAAACCATTTTATGTTATAAAACCAAATTTTGTTATTATTTTTTAGGTCGCTCTTTTACAACTGGGTTCTACAGCGACCACTGTGATTGCTTTAACTGTAGGGGGAAGTGTAAGAAGAACACGTTAGGACAACACAAACACACAAATATTCACGTCCGAGGCGAGATTCGTAACCGCGACCCTTCAAGTCGAGGCAGCTGCGGCCCTTCAAGCCTTAGCGACCACGGCTCCGGCTCTCCCCATTATTACTGAACTTGAAAACGGTGTGTTTTGGACTGAAAGTTATAATGTTTTGTTTTCTGACGCTATTGCAAAAGAGTAAATCAATTTTTTTCGCAGGTAAATGAAAAATACAATTATCTAAAAATAAGACCATAAATATAAGATTTCATATAATCTTTAGAGCTATTTACAAATTTTATAAAACAAAAAACACAAATAACTTATCAATTTGCAATAGTTTCTGAGAAAATATCGTCAATTTCTTGAAAAGCAAATTCTGGCGTAAGCAAGTAAATAATGAGAACAAAAAAATATTGAAGATAATGAAGTGGTTTCAAAATGATTTCATTAAAGACATTTGGATAAAAATATAATTCATTTTGCGTCAAATTTCTACTGGGTATATTTTCTCATACCGGGCGCAGGAAGTTAAGGGGCACATCAAAAGGTGGGAATGCGCACAGATTTCTCCACTGTAGCAGTTTGTTGTCCTACCTCACCCACCGCATGCAACACTTCGACGGTTAACACCGTCGACTGTTCTGGAGATCATTCGCTCTCCTGCCCAACCCTTTAAGAAGCATTTCACGGGAATCGCAAGGAGAATCACGGGAATCGCAAGGAGAATCGTATAAAGGGGAAGGGCTGACATAGAATCTACGCGAATAGATATATGAACTGTAAAGCAGACGTGTCACGGTCACGGGCAAGGTTTCAAGTAACTGTCCTCCTAGAGTTTCCGAGCTCCGCATCGAGAGAAACTGACGCGAGAAAAAGTAAGGGTTTTACAAATTGCTCCAAGGTTGTACGTCACTGAAAACCTGCCTGGTCCATGGCAGTCTTTTGAAGAGGTCAGTTAATTATTTCCCTTAATATAGCTATATTAATTTCCACTGCAACTTAAGCAAAGAAATGATCCATTAAAATGAAATGATACATCAGTGAGATTTCAAATTGTCAGTTGAGAGTAAAATTAAACATTTTGAATGCAAAGGATTTTCATTCCGCATTCTGTTTAGAGTGCAATAATTTCATTTCCTTCCTACTTTCAGTTCAGGAGGTTTAACTGTAAAAGATTCTTGCCCATTGAAACTACTGACTTTCCATAAGCGAGAATTGTAATTTTTTAGTAACCTGTTAATTTATTCCACATTATAGCAATATACAGCCAATAACTAGATGATTAAATAAAAAATAAAACGAAACTAGGAAATAATTCGTTAATCATAGTCCTGCCACTTGGAAAATTGTTCTTACAAGGCAAAATTTAATGGAAGAAACATAAAATAGTAATAAGTAGTAAAGAATATAACATACTACTATTGTCGGTTGTTTAATATAACAAATCCTGCCAACATTTCGTATAAAGACACTGTTCCCCTTTCTGGATAAGGAGGGGAAATGTCAGCAAAGTCAGGGAAAGTTGCTCGTGCTCACAAGAGAGCCGAGATTTCAAGGCGAGCAAGTAGCTCAATCGGGCGCGATTTGAATGGCCTAGTATACAGTTTCATTCCATAATACGTCACCTTCTTAGGTATCTCATACCCTCGCCCGTTTCTGGTGTACCATCTTAGCTTCGGAGCGAACCGCATTCATTATTAGACAGTTTGATGTCAAATTGCACTAATCCCCACAGCCAAACCTAATAAATCATTTACTGATTTATAAAAAGTGTTGTATAACTTATTTATCGTTCATGGTTTCTATCAGATCCATATGATATAAGTATAAATATTCAAGTGAAAATTATCGAACGCGTTGATTACATTTGAAGTCAAACTTCAAGACTAAATTTGTGAACATCATTCTTTGCGACAATGTTGTACTTGTAAATTTAATTTCATTTTTCCCAAGGTTCCTAATTTCCAATACACTCTTTCAAGTATCATTACGTGCACTAACTAGCGGTCTGCTGCAGCAAACCTGCTGCTGAACAACAATGGTTTTCCAAAAGGTAGTACTTACTCAGCTCACAAAAAATAAAATTCTCTCATTTAACGCTACAATAAAGTAAATATTCTATCAAAAACTGCCTCCACGAATACTGGAATAAAATAACGTAGTATATAAACAATACAACATTCCTACCAATAATATAAAAAACGCATGTGTTGTGTTCATAGGCTTCCGCGGCCGAAGTCATTGGACACTTGGCTGTCTATATATAGCTCTGAAGAAGGCCACGACACGATGGCCGAAACGTCAGCTCAATCGACTGACACGCGGCTCAAATAGGACAGCCAAGTGTCCAAACGCATGTGTTGTTCCAACAAGTTCCACACAAGTAACAAATATTTAATAGCGGGCGGACTACGACTTTGCTGTCTCACGCCTTCAGCTGTGTCTCTCACGGAATTTGAGAATTTAGTTGGTACGCTGAGTTTACGAACAAGCGGAATAACAGAATCAAATATTTGGTTTAAAGTACAGTACTGTCTAGAGAAGCGAGCGGAGGAAGGGCGGAGGGTGATGGGTGGAGCAGGGGGTGGGGGAGAGGAAGTGGGTGGAGAATGGAAGGGTGAGGGAATTAGGGGAGGGAAAGGTCACCCCCCCTCCAGGGCCCTTCTCACTCCCTTCCGCCGTTCGCTTCCCTAGGCTGAATCCTATTCTACACTTCATCCAAATTATTTCCTAGTTCATCAACTAAGCATTCCACAATACAATTTTTTTTTATAAAATCACCAAATATAAACATAAGTTCATCATTACACTATCAAACGTACTTGTCACTAATAAAAACACATTATTATACCGTATGGTTTCTGTTACGTGTGTAAACATGGCATTCCAAATACAACCCAAGTTAGAAAATAAATAAACTCACATTATATGCCGACTGTAGTAAACTAGATGCATGCAGGAAACAGCCGCTATTTCAAACGCATCATCTCCTTTTTTCGATGAGACGTTTTCTTGATTTTAAAACACAAGGGGAAGAAGCAACTCTTCAGAGAACCATGTTCCCAATCTCATGAGTACACTAAGTTTTTCCACAGAACACTTACTAAAATAAAGTTTAAAACGAACAGAACTAGTCCAATGTAGCGGTCGACACAAATCTGTTTCATAAATCGTGTTTCAAACTAATAGTGGAAGGACGTCTCCGCCATGTACGCTACACTCACTGCTACCATGCGACTAAACACAGAAACGAAAGAAGCGTTATTTCGCTCAAAGAGTTTGAAGATTAAATCATTGAGTTTACATAAGCAGTGAGTAGTATTATTCCGAAAACTATGAAGGGAGCGAAATTTAAAATCTCTAATTTTTCACATGCATTCAAATTTTGACAAAGATTGAGAAACTGTTAACAAAGAAACATTGGAAAATAAGTTTAAGCATTTTTCTATATTTATTATACAATAGCGTGTGTTATATTGTTCTTTTGTTCTGATATTTATACACAGCGATTATGGAATGTTTCTTATATAGGATTTAATATTTTCCTAGCATCCTTTAAAATTTTACCAAATGAAGAATTTCTCATATAATATTTTTTGTTGTATTATTTGTTCACAATCTTGTAATAAATCTTCGCGGATCTCTCTTATTTATTTTTCAAAATTTCAGTAAGAGAGGTGACTCAGGGCATCAACTGATGTCGCTATAGTTCTTCTAACCAGGAGGTCCTAGTGTCGAGTCCCGACGGTGGCAAGATATTCGACACAAGCTAGATAGCTTTGTCGA